GGTCTTGTGTTCTTAACAAGCTAAAATTTCATAAGGAACAAGGCAAGGGTTGAGTCTGAAAGCCCCGAGAAGAGGCAGAGGCAACCTGGTCTGTGAGAGAGGGCCATCCAGGAAAGAGAACCACTGGAGAGCTGTCAGGGGACAGATTTGAGGGTGCACACCCTGTCATAAGGACTGGGTTGGCTCTAGCTCTTTCCTTCTGGGGAACATCCACCACAGTTCTCCACCCTTTACTCTGGGCATTCGGATCCCCAGCCACCTCTCCCTCCAGCCAAGGCTCGTCTGACTCAGTGTTGGTGCCTCTGGATGTCAGGGCAGAGCTGCAGGGCTGCCATTGGGAAGAGCTGGGGATTGTGTGTTTTGTCGGTTGATTCCTTGAGAAGAGATCACGTGCTGATTCTGAGAGACCTTGAATCCTGTCAGTTTTGAATGAGAACAGGGAACCAGACTGAGTTACTTGGCTCTGTTGGAACCCAATGGCCCTCATCTGGTCCTTGTCTTATGGGTCAGCTCTTGCCTGTCACTCTTCTGGGGTGGAAAACCTCATTCCAAGGACAGCTCTGTCTAAAAGGAGGTGTGGCAGGTGTGTGTGTGTGTGTGTGTGTGAGAGAGAGAGAGAGAGAGAGAGAGAGAGAGAGAGAGAGAGAGAGAGAGGGAGAGAGAGAGAGAGAGAGAGAGAGAGAGAAGACTGTAGGAAGGCAGTCTGTCTTACCCTCATGGGGACAGGCTTTTTGAGACAGAAGTTTAGATACAGTGATTTGAAAGTTGCATTTGGTTTGAAGACTCAGCGATCTTGTCTAACTCAGAAAGGGTCCAGAAGGAACAGACACCAAGTTCTGGAGGAACATTCCCGTCACTCACTGAAGCCTGAAGGCTCAGCCTCCCTAAAGGCATTTGCATCCTTCCCCAAGGGCAGTGTCAGGAAATGGGGACACCTAGGATGCTCCCTCACCATGGAGAACAAAGCAGGACCCAACACCCTTACCTGGCTTCCGCAGGGCCTGAGGAAGAGACATCCAACAGAATCACAGTCCTCCCAGCCCCCACAGTCCGAGAAAGCACCTGCCGGTTCTGGGAACAGGCCGTTTCTCTGATGTATATGCCAGGCCACCTGAGTTTCTGCCTAGAGAAGATGTGGCCTGCGTTGTCAATCAACTACAGGCTGCCTGGAAGACACCTGGCTTGGAGGAATGACCCAATGACCTCTGACATGCCTTTGAGGGGCAAGAGTGGGAACTGTTGGATCTGTCATTTGCTTGTCAGTTATTGTGGGCAGTTACAGGAAGGATTAGGAACCCAGACAAGACCTTCTGTATAGAGGCTGACGTAGGTCAAGTTTCTGGTCAGTTCTTTCTCTGAGGTCGAGGCTCATGGTATACTGGAAGGAACCAGTGAAGTGGCCTTTTCCCATGGTGGAAACAGTCAGGAGTCAGGATGACTTTAGCCACTGTCCTTGCTCCTCTGAGGTTTTAGCCCAGGACAGGCCTTTCCAAGAGCACTGATATCCATATTTTTACAGTTCTCCCAACAACTTAGAATCAAGGAAACTGAAACCCAGAAAAGTTAGCAAGCTGCCTGATGTGGCAGCCGGTGACCGGGCACGGGAGCATACATTCTAGAACCTCTTATCCTGACTTCTCAGGGCTGGACAACAGAGTGGATTAGCTTGGTGACCACTAGTAAGACTAAGTCTGATGCAAAGAAATACTTCCTGCCAGCGAGGGGGCTGTGTGGAGTGTTCTTCCTTAGGGAGCTTGGAGAATGCCTGTTCTTTAGGCACTGCCGCAGGCTCAACTCTGGATTGACGACCACTTGGAGGTTTTCCTTCTGAGCATGGTGGCCACTGCGTTCTGGACTTTATACCAGCAGTTAGGTGTCTATATGAGATGCCTGACTGTGGGTCAGTAAATATAGGCCACTCTAAGACCTATGCTGGGATGTTGGATCTAGAGAAAGGCACACAGTTGCTGGAGAATTCCTAGAGAGGGGGAAACCATCCCTGAGGAACTGGAGAGTAGCCTGAACTTGATGGACATTTCTTTCCACCTTCAGCAGGGTGTGCCTATTACATAGAAAGAAGCCCTAGGCTCCTGCCTCCCTCTGTTCCCCTGATTCCCAACATAAAGTTAAGGCTGTGCTCTGCCTCTGTAAGGAGAACCCAGTAACCTATTGCATGTGCTAGGGGAAGCTGCTGTGGCCTGAAAAGGGAGAGGGAAAGGCCTTTCCTGGGACCTGTGAGCGGTCCAGGTGGCTCTGGGGCTCCTCTCATGACTTATTCCTCTCTGCTGCCGCAGAGGTAAGGCAGCAGCTCCAAGGAGGTGTTTTCCTTTCCTCCTCTCTTCAGCTTCCTGTCCAGCTGTGTGATCCCCAGTTTCCTCACTGAGAAAAGTGATTTTAATCTCACCTGCCTCTTGAACTTTGTCATGACTGATAAACTGATTCTTGAAACCAGGAGCACAGTAGGAAGGAGGTGGAGGGAGCGCTCTCGTCCATGTGCACATGGCTTCCTCAGCCCCAGTCCACTTCATACTAGAGTACAGGCCCTGTAGATGTGCCCTCGTGTACCAACACATGTCCACAGCCAAGCCTGGCTCTGGCTCCTAACTCCAGCCACTTACCCCTGCTTTCCGCCGCACCCCATAGTTGGGGGAGCCAGTGCTGGACCACATGCCTGCTGTAGGCTAGTTCTGCCCAGAATGTCTTCGGTCCTGTTTGGGGTCTCTGGAGGTGAGCTCTCTTGCCTTTGGTGCCAGTTCTGACTTCACCTGTCTTCCTCACAGCTCAGCAGTGTCTCCACTGCCTGGGGATCTGGCTTTATTCCGTTCCCTTTTAGTGCTATGACAGGCTCCCCGGGGCCCCGCCTCCAGGTCTTGCATCCCCAGCAGTCATTCTGGATCCTCCGCCCCCTCTCCACCCCCCTGGCTCTTGTCCTGGTGGCACCTGCCCCACCTCTTGCCCTTCTCAGCCTGTACCCTCTCCTTTCTTCTGCAGCCTCCCACCCTGGTGTGCACTTCCCCGAGACTCAAGCATCCTTTCCATCCCTCAAAAGGTCTTGTATCAACTTTAAAAATTTGTGAGGACCCACATCTGCACACTGGTGTGAACTCAGCTGGTCTGGGAGGTTTCCGGCGTGAACACAGTGTGTGTCCCTCACGCTGGTCAAGGAAATTTCCTCTGCTGTATTCTTTTGGCATACATTCTCCAGTAGTCCTGTCAGCAGCCCGGTGAGGTAGATATCACAGTCCTTATTTTATAGACGAGGAGTCAGGTAGACTGACTGACTTGCCTATGGCATGCCACACAGTGATTAGGTGGGAGAACAAGGACTTACGCCTGGGTCTTTGCGTTTCCCTGGGAACGACTGGGCCTCAAGAAGGTGTGGATTAAAGAAGATTAATATCAACACATCTGAATTTCTGTTACACAGGCGCTGGGTTTCTAAGCGAGCAAACCCAAGCTTTCTGCTGTGGTCCTTCCTCCAGACACCTAGACCCATGGCCACAGGTCCCTCTCTCACACAGGCTAGCCTGAAGACGGAGGGGAGGATGGAGCTTTCCAGGGTCCCTGGAAGTCTTAAGGTCAGACAAGGACGGGGAGGAAAGGCTGTTAGCTTCTCAGTAAGTGCCTGAAAGAGACTCTCGGTTGCTGGGGGTGGGAGTGGGAGGGAAACTTGTTGAGGACAGAGATGGGAATCTGGAGGGGGCTGAGTAATACAAATACAGTATTAACAGGTAAGGTTTCTCTTTCTTCAAAAGCAGGCTGTGAGGGAGTATTGAGCAAAAATGTTTGCAGATTATCCAAGAGGTCATAGGACGAGAAACTTGTGCAATCCTGAGTGGCTAACAGCTTTGGCCTACAGTGGGGCAGGACACAGTGTGTGTGTGTGTGTGTGTGTGTGTGTGTGTGTGTGTGTGTGTGTG